AGGGGCAGAAAGCCGCTCGGTGCAGCATAAACACGGCAGCCTCGTACGACTCCAGGCACATGGAGGGTGTTCCAGAGAACGTACACTCCACTTTGAATATTTATAAAGCCAAGACTCTCGTGACTCCTGGCGGGGTTTGGATCCTGGCCACCCTCACCTGCGCGAAACCCATCAGGAGGCCTCGGGCAGCAGGAGCTTGGACCAGGCCACAGGCCCCTGCACAGTGTCCGGCGTGCTGGGGCCCCCCACCCCCTCCCCAGCCACATGCGCACTGGCAGACAGAAATCCGGAGCCAGAGAACGCAAGCCGTGAGCAGAGCCAGCGTCAATACACAAACTTACCAGGAAATGCTTTACGCTGTAAGCGAAGAGATTGATTTTGCTGAGGTACTATGTGAAAATGGTTTTGTAGAACCTGAATGGAGGGGGCTCATGACCAGCCCACCCTCCTCCATGCATTCACTTAGGGGGGCTTTCCGGAGAAGGAGGGGTTTCGGGTAACAAATGTCAGGCAGAGGAGCCTGAAACGCACTCGTGCGGGTGACGGGGCCCAGGGACAGGGCAGAAGCAGGTGTTCCTCCCCCATCACCCAGGCTCCTGAGAGAAGACACAGGGCACATGGGCCAGGCCCCCATCTCGCTGAAGTCACGAGAGACCTTGAGCGGTGAGGACACCCACCACCTGCACAGCCTCCTGATGTCTTCTCTGCAAACGCGCAGCTCTCAACTGCCCTGGAAATGCGGGGCCACAGAGATGACGAGAAAAAGAAGGTGTCCACGGGCCCTCCCCCACCCCTAGCTCTGAGCCTGCCCCCCCAAACCCCCAGCCCTTGTCGTCTCTGCTGTCTCTAGAGCCACAGATGCAGCTTGGAGCGAGCTGAAAACGTCCTCAGCGAAATGATTGCTTTCAGGAGCGTGGCAGCTTCAGCTGAACAGGCTGCTTCCCACAGGCCTTGGACAGCTCTGGGAAACCAGATCTGTGGGAGGGGCGGCGTACGTGGGCGGGAGTGGGGGTGGGGGCAGGGTGGTGTGGCCGGCTCCCTAAATCCCAGGAACCAGCTGGTCTTTGGGAGACAGGGCCCTGGTTTTCACAACCCCCCCCCCCGTCCTTTTCCTGCCTCCAGGAGGGAGCTCGCACGCCTCCTACATCGAGTCAGATCCAAAGCATGGGGACCAAACGGCACTGCATCCTCAGAGGTGTCTCCCTCATGATGGTTTGCTTTGGGGGGCTGTGTGTTTGTCGTTTGCCTGTTCTTCCCAGAAGGCAGCGTTCGTCCTGCTGACGTCCCAGCTGCTGCCCCGGCTCTCTTTGGAGCTGCCCGCCTCGCATGGGTGGTTCTCTCTGTGAAAGACAAATCTGCAGAATCCTTCTGTCATTGAAGTTCTGCCTCAGAAGCCCGCCCGACGCAGTGGCGCGGGGGTGGGTCGGCGCTCTGCTGCCACCTAGTGTCGGCCTCGGGGTCCATGCGGTGAAGAGGCGAACCTTCCAGCGGGTGGTCAGGGACCCGCGGCAGGGCCTGATCCCTGGTCACACAGCTGGCTCTGTGTCTTCAGCTGCGAGGCTCGGATTCGAAGAGGAGGAGCACACCTACCCGCGGACAGAAACCCGAGGCTGGCGCCTGCCTTCACACCCATTACCCGGGCAGAGCCCCCTCTCCCACCTCCAGGCCTTCCCAGCTGCTCTCGGGTCATTTTCTCCTCCCACCTGAACCCTGCTGCTGTCCCCCATGTCCTCCCAGGTGAATGGATGGAGAGAGGGAGGAAGAGGCGGGAAGACAGCAGTGTGATTGTTTCTCCTTCCTTATCCAGCTCCCCCGGCAGGTGCCCGGGGCCAGGGCTGCGTCACGGAGCGGTCTCTGCCCCTGCACGGTCATGAGCAGCCGGAGCCTCCCTGGATGACATTTCTGCAGTGGGGGGCAGCAATAACAAGGACACGGCTGCACCCCATAAATGCATCTCACTAGATCCAAACTAAATGTATTCCCAACTCACTGTCGCTTTAGTCAGATTCCCAAAACCCGCAACACAATGAGGTGTAACAGAAGCAAAGAAACGCTGGTCTTTGCAAACCGTTAAAATATCTTCCATTTACAAATCTTACAAACTATACAAGCACATGAACATATCACTGCGCCCCCCCCCCAGGTGACTGGAAGAGGCCTACGTTTGATTAGCTGCATAGCAGATCCCCCTCCATCAACAAAGAAATGTCATCTAGAACCTGTAAAGAAAGACAAATTATCCGAAAGAATTAAGGACACGGGAATGAAGAGGCTTTTCCTGAGAGACAGCTCAGACAGCCAACTATGAAGAAAAGACATTCAATCTCAGCAAAAAAAAAGAAAAGAAAAACAACCAGATACATGTTTATATCCTATTTTATGAAATGCTTATATACTGTTTTATTTATGAAAATATTAATAGCTCGGTAACACAGGGCGTTAGCTGGGTTGAAAGCATGTATCACTGGGGTTGTAAAATGATAAACCAAGTCAGAGAACGATTCACAACCCCCAGGGGCTGAGCTTCCCAGGTGCGAGGGCCGATCCTGCAGGTGTGCTCACGCATGCTCACCGGAGGCACAGACAGGATGTTCACCTGCTGCACTTTTTATAACAAAAAAACAGATGGAAATTAACCGACTCTCCCAGGTGGGGGAAGGGCACAGAAACTCAGGTGTATTCATGAAATGGAAAACTAGTGAACAGTGAGAGAACAAAGAAGATGAATTAACCGTATCCATGTTCATAAATATTTTAAAACGTTGAGTTAAACGCGACTTGGGGCAGATGAAAGAGGAAGGTTCTCTGAGAACTTGCAGGTGCCTGGCTGAAGCACCTGAGCAGGTGACCTCGTTCCCTCTACGCAGGGCGTGTACTAGAGAAACAGTGATTAGCGTGAGTGTCCATGTCGACATGCAGACATCCACAGGACACAGACGTGGAAATGCCCTGTAGGCAGCGGAACACCTGGGTCTGGAACCGGATGAAAGTCCACTCAGAAATTTTTTTTTATCCTCACCCGAGGACATTTTTCGATATTTTGTTCAGATAGAAAGGAAGAGAGAGAGAGAGAAACATCGACGTGAAAGGGACACATCGAGTGGCTGCCACCCACACGACCAACCAGGGCCGGGGACAAAATGCAACCGAGGCACGTGCCCTTAGCGGGAACCGAACCCGGGTCTCTCTGGACCGCAGGCCGATGCTCTAACCACTGAGCCAAACCGGCCAGGGTCAGTCTGAGAAATTTTATGTCACTGGCACAGACTTTGAGAGTGGGATCCGCGGGCGGGCCTGCCACTCAGCCAGCTCGTAGAGCCGGAGACCTCAGCTGCTGAGTGTGCTGCACCCTGCTGGACACCTAATAAAACGACGGACCCCATGCCCCAGCCGGTGTGGCTCCGCTGGTTGGGTGTCACCCCATATGCACTGAAAGGTTGTAGGTTTGCTTTCCAGTCAGGGCTCATACCCGGGTTGCTGGCTTGATCCCCAGTAGGAGGCGTGCAGGAGGCAGCCAATCGATATTTTGCTCTCACATCAATGTTTCTCTCTCCCTCTTCCTCTCCCTTCCTCTTTTCTCTAAAAACAAATAAAAATATATTTTTTAAAAACACTGGATCCGCCCTGGTCAGTTTGGCTCAGCGGTTAGAGCGTTGGCCTGCAGTCCAGAGACACCCAGGTTGGGTTCCCACTAAGGGCACGTACCTCGGTTGCAGTTTGTCCCCAGCCCTGGCTGGGTTGTGCAGGTGGCTGCCACTCGATGTGTCCCTTTCACGCCGATGTTTCTCTCTCTTTCTCTCCCTCCCTCCCGCTCTATCTGAACAAAAAATGAAAAAATGTCCTCGGGTGAGAATTTAAAAAAAAACAAAAAACACTGGATCCCTTACTCCTACCCCATCCCCTCGCCCCCCCCCCCAAATTCCCCAGTATACACACTCATACATTTCTGTGCACACTGAAGCCCTTGCTTACAGAGTTGCGGTTACCCCAAGTTTCTGCACGACTCAGGGCCTGCAGGAAGGTGCCAGCTCTGTCCCAGCCCAGCTCCCGGGAAGACCCAGCACGGCAGCTGTGAGCCAGGGGCAGGGCACTGGAAGGAGGTTATGCTCATCTCCTGACCTCCCCTCCCTGCAAACCCGCGGCTAGGGCTCCCCCTCCTCATCAACCACCTAATAACGGATCCTGGGCCACTTCACCACTGCGCCCAGGGCCTCTTGCAGTGCTCGGCGGAGCGGGGTGGGGGGGACCCCTTGCCTGTACTTGAGAGTGGTTCTTGGTCCAGAGGTGAAACCTCACCAGCTCTGGGCGGTGCTCTGGGCCTGGAGTTTTGCAACAACTTCGAGAGAAGAAAACCTTATGATCATAGGCAGCGCCTCCAGGCCTCAGACTGGATCAAGCCCTTGGCAGGGAGACGCTCGATAGAGCTGGACAGATGGACAGGGTGGTGGGTCCTGGAACAAGCAACTGCTTTAACTGCACCCAGGAAACTTCTGGCGGCTCCAGCAGCACTTGCCTTCCGCCCACAGTTGTGCGGTACGACAGCCCCACCTGCAGGATGCTGGCGAGAGTGCAGCGGCGGGAACTCCAGCCACAAGGAGCACCTGTCTCAGCTTTTCCACTCCTCTGCCCATCTGTGCCAGGAAAATAGTCACCTCCGCGTGGGCACAGCAGCAGGGTCCTGCACACCCGCTGGCCAGCCCGCAGCACGTGTTCCTGGTGCAGACTGACCAGCTCATCCTGGGCGGGCCCGTGCCGCCTGGTTTGCAGTGGGAAGCCCCGCAGTCCCGGGCAGGCCCCTGGGTCAACGCCTCTGCTTGCCCACCTGTTTCCCAAGGACTCGCCCACCTGCCTCTGGGACAAGAAGGTATGGGGACGGGGCAGACATCTAACAGGCTTCAAAGAGCCTTTATTGAGATTGTTGTCTTACTAACTGAAGTGCTTTCACCCTCCTAAGTTACTGCCTCCCCGCCCTCCCCCTAGGGGGCGCCCGCCGAGGGGCGTCAGGGAATCAGCAGCACCCGGTGAGCACCAGGCTACGGGCCGAGGCAGAGAGGGGGCTGGTGAGGCCGCATGGCCATACGGGGCCCTCAAGGGGGGACACTTTCAGAGAGACCGGGCCTTGGGAAGAGCGACAATCTCTACCCCTGCCCAGAGGATGGTACTCACTTTCTGTGCAGGGGGAGTTCAGTTTCGCAATTTCGTGTGACCGGCCCAGCGTGGCACCGTTTGTTCTATAACGGCCTGGGGGGCAGTTTCTCTAAAGCCTGAGGCTGTGGTTGTGTAGCCGGTAAGCAGACCGGTGCTGTTCCTCCAGGCAGAGAGGAGCCCGGGTTGGGGAAATGCCGGGAGCACAGGCTCGGGCTGCGGGGCTCCCCGGGGGCCTCCCGCAGAGCTGCCCGCGCACTGGCTGCTTCAGCATCACGCAGGTTCCAGCACCCCAGGCTGCGGAGACCGCCCAGCCCATGCTGACGCATCCTGCGGCACCTCACTGAGCAAGGACGCCGAAAGGGAACCAAGGTGCCGGCCTCGTTCCGCACTGTGCTCCGGGCGTCTGCAGTCCGCTCCGCCAGGGAGGTGCGGGAAGGGGGAGACTAACCTAGGTTTCCTGAGAGCAGTTGCGTTTGCTAAGCCCTGGGTGCCTGACCCCCGCTGCAGGGACCGGTGAAGGGCCTGCTCCTGACCTGCAGGGGCCACGGGAGGCCACGGGAGTCTCAGCTTCTGACAGAACAAGACGTGGACACTTTTCACAACTTACCAAAATACCACCTTGCAGAGATGCTGATACATTGATACCTTAGTGGCCTCTGATGGCCTCGCGGAGGGACTTGGGAACCAGAGTCCTGTCTGGGGACATGCTGCCCAGGCAGCTTTGCAGAGGGCAGTGGTGTGGGCACCTCCAGCCTCCGTCACTCACACACGAGGGACCCGGAGTCTGGCCAGGCCACCTTGGGCGCGGTGAGCGCTTTGCAGACATTGTTTCCGAGATCTAGTCCCAGGAGGAATGGCACATGGTGAAGGATTGTTTTCCGTAGAAAGAACCAGGGCTCCATAGGGCCATGTTCGCATGCTCAGGTGAAGGCTGGTCATGGGCGGGTTTGAGTGGGCTCAGCTGGTGAATAGTGGTGGGGGCAGCTGACCGCTGCCGGGCTCCGGGCGGAACCTCTGACTCCCTCAACGACATCCCGAGTGACCGCTGTCAGTAACAGTAAGTGCAGTGTGACGGCAGTGCTGGGAGAACCTCACCCCGCCCAGGTCTAACACACCTCGCTCCTGGGTTATCAGCACATCCAGTAGTGGGTAGGAGGGGCCAAGGAGAGCCAATGAAACAGGGACTTTGCTCATGGGCTGCAACAGTGACCTTGGCTGGGGCACTGGCTACAGCAATGACCTTGGCTGGGACACTGGCTACGGCAATGACCTTGGCTGAGGAACAGGCTGCAGCAATGACCTTGGCTGGGGCACAGGCTGTAGCAGTGACCTTGGCTGAGGAACAGGCTGTAGCAGTGACCTTGGCTGGGGCACTGGCTACGGAAATGACCTTGGCTGAGGAACAGGCTGCAGCAATGACCTTGGCTGGGGCACAGGCTGTAGCAGTGACCTTGGCTGAGGAACAGGCTGTAGCAGTGACCTTGGCTGGGGCACTGGCTACGGCAATGACCTTGGCTGAGGAACAGGCTACAGCAATGACCTTGGCTGGGACACTGGCTGCAGCGATGACCTTGGCTGAGGAACAGGCTGCAGCAATGACCTTGGCTGGGACACTGGCTGCAGCGATGACCTTGGCTGAGGAACAGGCTGCAGCAATGACCTTGGCTGGGGCACTGGCTACAGCGATGACCTTGGCTGGGGCACTGGCTACAGTGATGACCTTGGCTGGGGCACTGGCTACGGCGATGACCTTGGCTGGGGCACTGGCTACGGCGATGACCTTGGCTGGGGCACTGGCTACGGCGATGACCTTGGCTGGGGCACTGGCTACGGCGATGACCTTGGCTGGGGCACTGGCTACGGCGATGACCTTGGCTGGGGCACTGGCTACGGCGATGACCTTGGCTGGGGCACAGGCTGCGGCGATGACCTTGGCTGGGGCACTGGCTACGGCGATGACCTTGGCTGGGGCACTGGCTACGGCGATGACCTTGGCTGGGGCACTGGCTACAGCGATGACCTTGGCTGGGGCACTGGCTACGGCGATGACCTTGGCTGGGGCACAGGCTGCAGCGATGACCTTGGCTGGGGCAGAGATTGGAATCCTTACCTGAACTGAGGATCCTAGAGCATTTATCATTCTATTTCTCTATTCTAGGCAAGTCTTTTTCAAACCTGACTGGGTGTCATTGTCTGGAGCCCTTGTTTGAAATGCAAATTGCTGGATTCTAGCCCCGCAGTTCGGATCCCCCAGGTGTGGAGTGTGCCCAGGAATCTGTTTGCAGGTGCTCCGGGTGACCCCGGCGCAGTGTTGGGAGCAGCCATCCAGCCCACACCATGTCCGTGCGTCAGCACTGAGAACTGGCTGTCCCAGCGTGTCCCTGGGCTCCGCCTCCGCACTGTCCTTTAGCAAACACACGTCACACCGGTTCAGCTCAGCCAATGTTTATTTGGCACCTACAATAGACAAGGCACAGAACCAGGAGCTGTGGGGGACAAAGACAAGGCTAGGCTGCCCGGGGGCGCACGGTCTGGGGGGAGACACGCACAGGCGAGTGAGGCGAGCTCCGCGGCAGAGGCCGAGCAGTGGCCAGCAGGGAGCAGGCCAGATGCAGTGCGCCAGGGCGGGGGCATCGGCTCCGCACTGACCTGGCAGGTCAGCGTCGGCTGCAGGGCGTGGCGCTCTGGCCGGTCCAGGAGAGGGTGGGGTCTGCACAGCGGGGCTGGACAGAGGGGTGGGGCCCAGGAGAAGGGACAGCAGTGTGAACATCCACGGAATGCAGGAGCGAGACAGCGTGTCTCCCTTGCCTGAAACACAGTGCTAACAGGTGACAGGGAGCTCAGACTAGGGAGGTGGCGAGGCCAGTGGTAAAGGCCCTCCTGTGGTTAGGAGGTGTGACTCCAGTCTACAGGCACTGGTGAGCCATCCAAGGTGTCTGAGCAAGGGAGTGATGTGACCTCACCTCCTCAGTTCCAGGCTCCCCCCTCTACTGCATGATTGGCTCTGTCTCTGGTAACTTCACTCTGAATGGCAGCCTCTGCCCTCCCAGTCGAAGCCTCGTGGCCACACATGCTCCAGGCTACCTTGCAGCTCACCTACCAGCGGTGCACCCTCACAGACGAGCAAGTGCCCCGTCTAGAATCTCTGGGGAGCAGGGCAAGGCACAGGAAGGTACTCAACGGACCGCCGTGGCCTAAGCGCCGCAGGGGTCCACTGCAGAGAAAGCGAGAACGAGAAAGGAAACGGCAGAAAGACCCTAGGACGGAACTGGCATCCCCACCCTGAACAACCTGCCAGTCGGCTTCGGAGAGCCCACCGCACCCTGCAGCCTCACTCACGGGAATCGGGGTGTCCAAGCGCTCGACACACAGAAGGGCCTCTGCGGACGCCTGCCCTCGGACCCTGCCTAGCTGTCCAGCGCGGAGGGAGAATGGCGCGCACCCCCGCCCGAGCCACCCCAGCCCGCGAAGGGATGCGAGGCCACCGCCGTCCAGGTGGACACGGCGATGCTGGTCAGCGAGGGCTCCCCCAGAACCTCCATGCCCGCCGAAGAGGGTGCCTGGGTGGAGAGGGGCGAAGTCACAGCGGGGTTGCCCAGGAGAAACGCTCCTGGGGACCCGGCATGCACCTCGGGGCCCGGCCCGGCAGGGCCCCCGCCGCTGTTGCCGATGGTCCACAGGCACGGGTAGGGGCTGCAGAGACAGAGAAAGGAGGGGTGCTTGGTGTCGTTCCCAGACATGATCGCCCCCTGCCACAGCAACACCGGGACCCCTGGAAGCTCGTGACAAATGCAGGGTCTCAGGTCCCCGCTGTGCATGTTGACAACTCCCGGCGATTCTCACGCTCACTGGACCGTGGGAAGCGCCGCTGTGGACCAGGCCCTGCGTTCTCCCAACTTGTTCTGCGAGATCACAGCAACCCGTCCTGCAACCTGAATCCATCTCAGATCGTCTCAAATCCTGCACACCTCTGCTGGAGACAACAGCTCACACACACACACACACACACACCTCTGCTGGAGACAACAGCTCACACACACACACACACGCACACACACCCCTCTGCTGGAGACAACAGCTCACACACACACACACACGCACACACACCCCTCTGCTGGAGACAACAGCTCACACACACACACACACACGCACACACACCCCTCTGCTGTAGACTACAGCTCACACACACACACATACCTCTGCTGGAGACAACAGCTCACACACACACACACACCTCTGCTGGAGACAACAGCTCACACACACACACACCTCTGCTGGAGACAACAGCTCACACACGCACACACGCACACACGCACACACACCTCTGCTGGAGACAACAGCTCACACACACACACACGCACACACACACACATACCCCTCTGCTGGAGACAACAGCTCACACACACACACACGCACACACACACACATACCCCTCTGCTGTAGACTACAGCTCACACACACACACATACCTCTGCTGGACACAACAGCTCACACACACACACCTCTGCTGGAGACAACAGCTCACACACACACACACCTCTGCTGGAGACAACAGCTCACACACACACACACGCACACACGCACACACACCTCTGCTGGAGACAACAGCTCTCACACACACACACACACACACACACACCTCTGCTGGAGACTACAACTCACACACACACACACACACACACCTCTGCTGGAGACTACAGCTCACACACACACACACACACACTCCTCTGCTGGAGACTACAGCTCACACACACACACACACACATACCTCTGCTGGAGACTACAGCTCACACACACACACACACACACCTCTGCTGGAGACAACAGCTCACACACACACACACACTCCTCTGCTGGAGACTACAGCTCTCTCACACACACACACACACACACACACACCTCTGCTGGAGACTACAGCTCACACACACACACACACTCCTCTGCTGGAGACTACAGCTCACACACACACACACATACACACACACCTCTGCTGGAGACAACAGCTCACACACACACACACACACCCCTCTGCTGGAGACAACAGCTCACACACACACACACACACACACCTCTGCTGGAGACAACAGCTCACACACACACACACACACCTCTGCTGGAGACAACAGCTCACACACACACACACACACACACCTCTGCTGGAGACTACAGCTCACACACACACACACGCACACACACACACACACACACCTCTGCTGGAGACTACAGCTCTCTCACACACACACACTCCTCTGCTGGAGACTACAGCTCTCTCACACACACACACACACACACACACTCCTCTGCTGGAGACTACAGCTCACACACACACACACACACACCTCTGCTGGAGACTACAGCTCACACACACACACACATACACACACACCTCTGCTGGAGACAATAGCTAAGACACACACACACACACGCACACGGAATGTACTGCTGACACAGCGTTTCCTTTTAATCCTCACCCAAGGCTATTTTTGCATTGATTTATTGTAGATAGAGTGGAAGGGAGGGAGGGGGAGAAAGAGAGAGAAACATTGATGTGAGCGAGACACATCGATTGGTAGCCTCTGACACAATTCCAACTGGGGTCAGGAATCAAACCCGTAACCAAGGTACGTGCCCTTGACTGGGAATCGAACCCAAGACTCTTGGGTTCAAGGGCCGACGCTCTCACGGCTGAACCAAATCGGCCAGGGCACAACACATTTTCATGCGTTTTCTCGTTTGGATCTTACTCTGACTCTACAGAGTGGCTCACGCTGTTACAGACAGGACAGGCCGGAGTTCCGCGAGGCCCAGCCGAGGTCTCAAAGTCAATAGGGAACTGGGACTCCAGCCATGTCTGTCAGGCCGCAGGCTCCCTTCCCTTCACCCCACCGCGCCCCCGCTCTGATTTCCAGAAGTCAGAACTCACGGGGGTCCCTGCTGTGAGAGTCACGCCGGGGGCCCTACACCCTACACTCAGCCCTGTCCCCTGCGCGGTGAACCGGGCCCCCACAGCTGGCCCCCCAGGATGGGCAGCTTAGGAATATGGACAGAGGTCTTGCATTCTCAGCAAGCCTTTACTTTCCCCTTCCACTGCCTACATTCATCGTCCGTCTGCTGCCCACAGTCCGCAGCCTCTGGCTTTGAGACAGCTGAGCCCAGGCCACGACACCTCCAACCTCTGAAAGCAGAACACGAGCAGGTGCTTTCCCAGCGCCCTTCCTGCGGCAGCACAAGGCCGTCCTGGTGGGCACCTCGCCGCCCAGGGGCTGCGCGTCAAGACAGCAGCTTCGAGCAAGCCCCCCGGAGAAAGAGTGCACTCGAGTCCCCAGGGCTCACGACATACACCCCCCAGAACCAAGGGGCGAGCTGTTGGTGGTGCTCTGACCTGGGCCCTGGGTTGATGGGGCCGCTGGTGTGGGGCACCGACAGGATGCTGGCGTGGGGGGCGGAGGCTATGGCGGTGCAGCTGTCAGCTCCGGAGAACACTTGCAGGTTGTTGCTGGAACTTTCTATCCAGTTCACTTTGGAGAAAGAACAACAGTTCAGTGGATGGAGCATGCGGACCCTGTAAAGGTGGTGACCAATGACCTTACCCCGGGGCCAACCGTAGTGACGGCCTGCCTGTGGGTGCCAGTGGCTGTTAGTACTTTCTCGGGGAAACAGAAAAGGGGGGGACGTGGGTTTTCTGAATGCCAGACATACGCCACCTGCCGTCCACATTTTAATCTTCACAACAGCTCATCTCCACGTGACAGGTGAGCGCAGAGCTTTGCCCTCGGAGACATAGCTCAGTCTAACTCACGTCACCACACTCCGCTCCTTTCAGAATGGACCATGTCATCCCCCCCTCGAAATTAGCCTAAGGGCCGCAGTGCCCCAGCGGAGAGCTCTCTGAGGTCCGAGACCTCGGTCTCTCGGCAACCTTAAGTGGACTTAAACCTCTCAACAGTAGTGTCTTCTACGTCTTTGAATCTCCACTTGCGTAAATAGTGTATATACAAGAGACAGGAAGAAGGACAACCAGGAAGAGAGGATGGAGGGGGGGAAGAGGAGAGAGAGGAAGAAATGTCCGGAGTGTACACCTGGCCAAGTCACTGCTCACATAATTGGCACGTATGACTTCCTCTGCCTCAGCTCCTGCATCTTCTGCTCCTCCTCCCCTCCTCGGTTCCTCATCGGTTCCCCACACAGCCAGGCTCTCTCACCCTTCTGGGTCTCCGCTCACCTCCGTCTGTTACTCGGAATGCCCTCCCCCTCTGCCCGTGCCCCATGTCCTCTAGGCAAAGCCCTTTTCCTTCATTCCCGTAGCGCGTGGGCTTGTGTGTTTTACAGAATGTTTCTCAAACTTTCTTGTGCATACGAATCTCCTGAAGATCTTATTAAAATGCAGCCTGTTTCAGAAGGAGAACCTGAGAGCCCACCTATCTAACAAATCCCCCGGGGAGGCTGCAGGTCCAGGACCACAGCAGAGCTGCCGTATGTTGAGGGATGCATGCATGCATGTAGCCCTGAGCTCCTCCAGGGGAGAACTAGACCTGATCGCCTTCCATCGCCCAGAAGAGGTCTGGTGGACATGCTCGGAGAGCATGTGTGTGCTGACCGTGGAAAGGACCAGCAAGCAGAGGGAGAACACTGCTCAGTGTCTGAAATCATCAAGTTGCATGTTCCCCTTCCCGACAGCAGCCGTCAAGATTGTTGGGACACAGGCCAAGGGCCACAGGGACAGGTGCTGGTGACCAGGAAAGCCACCCACAGACACAGAGCTCAGGTGTCCCTGACACTGCAGTCTTAACAGCCTCCTCCATCTCCCATGCCGTGGATTTATTGGTTGTATATCACACCAATCTCCCCATCTGGGAATAGAATGTCCATGAGGGTCCAGTCCTTGTCTATTTTGTTCATGGGCAGAACATGGGACTTCGTCAGCCCCCCATAAATATTTGTTGCATGAATAACTGAATGAGAAATCTACCCTGTTTCCATTGCTCCCTCCCCCACACAAACCACCAGGCAGGGGCCAACACAGGCCAAGGACAGACAAGGTGACAGTCAGCGAGGATAAACGCACACAGGGGCGTCTACGTCAAAAATAATCAGACTGCAAAAATGATTAAGGTTGGTTCTGCATGCCTTCGACTGAGTCAAACCCAAGCCTGGAGGCAGAGAGACCCAGCTCCCCAGAACCTTCCTGAGTGTGCCTCAGTGCGGGGCCCAGTGTCCCCAGGACTGAGCCAAGGGTATGACTGTGGAAAAGAGCCCCGTGAGGGCAACGAGCCGAGTGTCTCAGACCCCACACCTCACCCGACTTTCAGAGACGAAGCCTGGAGCTGCCCAGGACACCAGCGCCCTGAGCAATCACACCCACTAGAAACCAGGAAACTCAGTGTCTTGTTTAAAAAATTACCAAACACTAGCAACGTTCTAGCTAGTAATCAACTGCTAGTATATCAAAGAAAACGTTAAAACAGTAACATGCAATAACCTCACCGACATTCGATGAGAGGGGTTCCATCTTCAGATGCTTCTTTCTACTGTGTATCCATTTCTCTCCTCCACCACCCCAGCCCCTGCCCAGGCCCCCAGGGGTTTAACGAGCAGAGCCACCCACCTGAGGGCGAATGGTTTCTATGCACGTAAGCGGGAGGGTAGGGGGACTGGCGGTGTCCCCGGAGGCCAGGGTAGCGCTCACAGCCGTGGTGGGTGTGGGGGGCAGGCAGAGGCAAAGGGGCCGCGTACTGGTAGCTGGCGTTTCCTGCCGTGCACACTCCGTCCGGACTGGAAAAGATCCAGCCTCCCACTAGAACAGACCAGAGGAAGACACAGAGACGACCCCCACAGTCAGGTTATCGGCCACTTTGCATAGCTGGGTTTCTGTGTGGATGACACTGGGCGTCTGCCCTGGACACCATCAGCCCCTGCCATGCCCACCACGCTAGCAGCCGCACTGGCTTCTCTGTAGACGGGTGGCAGGTCCTAGCAAAGTCTGCAACACTGGAATCGCAGCCCTAGGAAAGACTGTTTGCATGTGTGCGTTCATGGACATTCAAAGCTTAGGCTGCTTCTGACTTCACTGAATGAAATTAAAGGTCAGTCTAAGAAGAAGGTGTTAGCTGCACACTTGCTCACTGACCTACAGCCTCCAGGGCTGTTCATGTGGCTACACAGGAGTGAAGACCTCCTATTTCCGCCCAGTGGGGAGGGTCTCACGGCCTCCCCTCACCCTGCACTGAGGGTCCTGAAAGCAAGAAGACAGGGAGCTGGCCAGCACACCTGGACAGCAAGAATGTTGCAGAATACTCCAGAAGGCTACAAAGTATTTCATAGAAATGTGTTTGTGAATGATCGCAACTAAGGCAGAAAATGCATCTGACAAAATGTAACACCCTTTCATGATAAAAAATTGAAACACTCAGCAAACTAGGAATAAAAGGAAACCCTTCCACATCGTTGAGGCCACATATGCCACACCCGTGGCTAGCAACCAGCTCAGCAGTCATCCGGGGAGTTTCCCCTGGAGATCATGAGCAAGGCGAGGACACCCATCTTTGCCACGTGTGTTCATCATAGCACCAGAAGTCCTACCAGAGCAATTAGGCAAAATATAGAAATAAGTGAATGAAAAGAAAGAAAGAAAAGGCATCGAAAATAGAAAGGAAGAAATAAAATAATCTCTGTTCACAGATGACATGGTCTTATATGGAGAAAACCTTAAAGATCACACACACACACACACACACACGCGTGCACACACACACACACACACACACACACTAACAAACAAATTCAGCAAAGTTGCAGGCCAAAAGCACTTGTGTTTCTATATAACAATGTTTCTCTCTGTCTCTGTCTCTGCTCTCTGCCTCTATCTCTCTCTGCGTCTTTCTCTGTCTCTACTCTCTGAGAACTCTTGCAAGGGCATAGACTTGTCTTGAGCAGAAGAAATGACCCGCTGGGTCTCGATGGAAGATTTGAAACAGGCCATGAGTAGTCCCGACAGGTGAAGAGTCTGACGTGGCAGGATGGGCTCCTACGTCACCCGGGGCCTCCCACCCCGCGCTCACCCAACTCACGGTGGGAATAGGCCACGTGCTGGCTCTCGGAGACCACTTCCGGGACATCTTTCAGGTGGTTTCTGAAAAAGGAACAAAATGCACCTGGCTGTCCAGCTGGGCACCCAGGTCGGCACAAAGTCTGCCCGAAAGTCTCTCCGGAGAGCAGTGCACTGCTTGTAATCAAACACCCTTTTCTCTTGAACCTACTGTCCATCCCTGCTCGCCTTCCTCCGGGGCACTTTACCAACCTGGGAAATTGTTCTTTGAATTGAAATTCGTGGTGACTCCAATGTACCATATTTATAACCCTCTCTACTTAGTTTGACCTTGTGATTTCTGGCCATTGGTCCCACCTGACAAAATTCCAGGACAGCTAAGATTAGCAGAGAATTTCAGGGCATAGCCCTCCCTGTGATATGCTAGACCCACCAGTGATCCTGTGAGGGAAATAAGAGTTAAAAAATGGATCTTGCCCTGGCTGGGTGGCTCGGTGGATTGAGCGTGGTCCCACGCACCAAGGTTGCCAGCTCTGTTCCCGGTCTGGGCACATTCCAGGGTTGCAGGCTCGATCCCCAGTAGGGGGCGTGCAGGGGGCAGCCGCTCAGTGTTTCTCTCTCACTTTTGATTTCTCTCTCTCTCTCCGTCTCCTTTCTTCCCTCTCTAAAATCAACAAAAACATTTAAAAAAAAAAAAAAAAGTGGACCTCAGAAAAATAAATGGATGTAGGCAGGTCACACTCCAGGAAGCGGCCACTCAGACTCAGCGTCAGCACCTCCTACTCAGAGTCCTCGAGTCTGATTATGTTCACCAGCGACTGCCATTGCGAACTCAGGTCCTCTCATTCACATCTCAGGTTTTCTTTAAGCCTTACTGGTCTGCAAAAGCTCTAAGTCTGCCTTCTACGTCATCGAAAGTAAGTCAAACATGGACAAACAGCTGTTCACACAGCTGCCCGTTACCAGAGCCCCGGGGAGGACGGTCACAGGAGGCACCGAAAAGGACTCGAAGCCCAGGGAACACAACCCGACCGCTCCCCACGGCGATCAGAACAACGCTCCAGGCCTTGAGAGAGGTCAACCGTAAGTGCCACTGGTTCGTTTTCTCCCCGAATGGAAAGGGAAGACACAGAGTGCCGTCACCAGCCCCAAGTGGGAAAATGACCGTTTATACCCCGGAAGTCGAACTTCCCTCAGACCTGAGCGGTGTGACCCTCTCACCTTTCATGAGCTACTCATACGAACGGCTCAGCCTTCCCAGGCTAACTGTAGCTTCGTAAAATCCAGCTATTGAAACCACAGTCCTCAGAGATCTTTGGGGATGGCAGAAGGAACCACATAAAATCTAGATCCGTCCATTATTTTTTTAAATGTGGTTGAGCTGGTTTTAAGGCTCGATGGTAGCCCTGGCCGGTTTTGCTCAGTGGTTAGAGCGTTGGCCCGCGGACCAGAAGGACCCGGGTTCGGTTCCTGCTAAGGGTTGCAGTTTGTCCCCTGCCCCGTTGGGGTCATGTGGGTGGCAACCAGTCGATGTGTCTCTCTCACATTGATGTTTGTCTCTCTTCCTCCCTCTCTCCCTCCTGCTTTATCTGAAGATGAATGCAAAAATGTCTTCGGGTGAGGATAAAATAATTTTTAAAAAAGACTGTATGGTAAAACAGGTGACCAAACATTGCCAGTTTGGGGCTCTCCCAGGCCTCTGTTATAAGGAGCAGGTACGTAGGAGTCTGTTGAATTGTGTCGATCACGTTCAATACTGAATCGAATAGTAAAAGCATACTCCTATTAAAGGTACAGCAAGGGCTCATCTCTAGCTCCTTTCTGGATGATCGCAGATTTCACATTTGCAAAAAGCAACGCATCAGACTTTGCTGAAAGTCTCCACTCACCTCTCCTTGGCATCCAGGAAGGCTTTGGCAAAGGGGTTGTGCTTGATTTTGAGAGCTGTTATCTTACGTTCACAAAGACAAGAAGAGTTAGTGAGGGCAGCACGCGCGGGAGCAGACAGAACACTTCACCTTCACCTGGGGACTTCTGCAACCTCAGATCACTCCCCTCTCCCTCCTTCCCCCTCCACGTCTCTGCTCCCTTCCCACAAACCACTGTCGCTCACACCCTCTGGCAAGAACGTTCTACTGTGGCCCGTGGTGAGAACGGCCAGTGTGGTGACCGTGGCCCGTGGTGAGAACAGCCAGTGCGATGACCGTGGTCTGTGGTGAGAACGGCCAGTGTGGTGACCGCGGCCTGTGGTGAGAACGGCCGGTGCGGTGACCGCGGCCCGTGGTGAGAACGGCCAGTGTGGTGACCGCGGCCCGTGGTGAGAACGGCCGGTGCGGTGACCGCGGCCCGTGGTGAGAACGGCCAGTGTGGTGACCGCGGCCCGTGGTGAGAACGGCCAGTGCGGTGACCGCGGCCTGTGGTGAGAACGGCCGGTGCGGTGACCGCGGCCCGTGGTGAGAACGGCCAGTGTGGTGACCGTGGCCCGTGGTGAGAACGGCCAGTGCGGTGACCACGGCCCGTGGTGAGAATGGGGACCGCGGCCTGTGGTGAGAATGGCCAGTGTGGTGACCGCGGCCTGTGGTGAGAACGGCCAGTGTGGTGACCGCGGCCCATGGTGAGAACAGCCAGTGTGGTGACCGCGGGCGGACAGAGGCCAAGCACTGGAAAGGAGCAGAGTCCCACGTGCTACACCGGCCTCCTGGCTTTGACTCACTCACTCACCGTTCTCAGCTGTGACTGAACACTTCCCCCAGCTCAGTCACATTTCTAGTCGCTGGGGACACAGTGGGAAGGAAGGCAGTGAGGTCTCGCCTCACCAGGAGAGCAGTCGGCCTCACTCCCTGATTCCTAAACAACCGCTCCCCGGGCCCATTAGCACAGGACACAAAGCCTCCCACGGCCTCAGGCTGCTGTCTTCCTTCGGGGCCACAGACACGCCCACATCAACGCCCACATGGCGTCTCAGACACACGATACATCTGTGATACGCCTTTGGTCTCCATCTCTCCCCACTGGGACATACGTGCTGGGGACACAGCGCACATGTTGCGTTCATCGCGGATCCCCAGCACGTAGAGCATCGGCAGGTACTAACCCTGGACAAACACCTGCCGACACACCTGGGCATCGCAAGGGCCTGAGACAGCCGCCGTCCTCCTGGCCCCGGGGCGGCGGCAGGAACAGGAGCCGGGAGGAGGCTTTATGTTCAAGGGGCCACATGGCCACTTTACAAGCCCACACAGTCGACAAACAGAGCGGAAGCACACAGCGGGCATGAAGAGAAAAGGTGAACACGTGTTCTGTCCCTCCCGCCCTGTGATCCGTTCTCCGGGGACGTGACGATGACCAGTTCAGTCTGTTTTCTCCGCGTGCCTTTCGTACGCAGCTGAACCTATAGTCTCCTCCACATTTTTGAAAAATCGTTTAAGTTTAATCAGAAACAAGCCAAGCCTCCACAGGTGCTCCTGATGACCAGCAGGCCTGGACCCCCAAGAGTACAGGGGGACCCAGGCATCCTGCCCGGACCCACGCACGGGCCAGGTTCTGGTGGCTCAGCTCCGCCCGCCGGAGTGGCTCGAGCCAGGCGGGAAAGGACATGCGTGAGCTCAGCTAAACCGACGCAGGACAGCCAGCCTGACACGAGCTGCCGGAGGGGCCGCTTGGGCTCAGTGACCACAGACTGGCTTCTGGGGCAGGAGAGACGCCCAGCTCTGTGCGGGCCAAGGGCACGGCCCTGCAGACAGAGCCCCGGGTGGCCTTGGGTTCTTACAATGCAGGACCCGCCCCCCGGCACCAGGAAAGGACGCTCCGTGGGCCTTTGGCGAACGGGCGGAAGGAGCGGCCAGCGGCCACCCCACTGTTTGTAACTTCGCCTCTGCCGGGTGCATCTGGATCCCGGGAATCCTGCCTGTGGTCCCAGGGTGGTCACGGCCGCAACAGCACCCTCCCCGGCCCACACGCTCTCCCGGGGCGCACACCCTTACCTCCTCGTTCTGATAGGCGGTCACCGCTATGAACTGGGTCTCCGGGAAGGAGCAGTTCATGACCATCCGGTGGGCGCCCCCCACGCGCACGATGTGGACCTGGGGCTCGTACTTGTGCAGGGAGCTCAGCATTATCTGGGAGATGCAAGCAGAGGAAGACATGCCGCTGGCCGGGCCGCCCAGGCAGTGGGCCCGCTGGCCGGGCCGCCCCGGCTCAGCCCCACCGTTCCAGCTCCTCAGCCACCTGCGCAGCCACCACACCCCGTGATCCGAGGAGAGGGACGGTCCCCAGACGCTCCAGAGACCATAACGTTGGCGCTTCCAGGAGCCTGGGGTGGCTTTCCAGGGGGGTGTTTTAAGGAACAGAGTTTTCCACCCAAACCCTGGCTGCCTTGGTCTCCTCTCCCCATTCCCAGCCCCGTGGTGAAAGCATGTTGGTTCCTCCCTGGGAGGGAGCCGACATTCAGAACACGGACCTTGGCCGTGTTCCACGGGCTGCCTGGGAGCAGCGGGCAGTGTCTGACACCACGGTCACGGGAAACCCGCCCCGCGCCCCCGCCCGAACAGGGGCTGACCACCTCGTGCTGCGAAATCGGCGGCAATAACCATCCATGTCCCGTTGTAGTAAAGAACTGAAACCTTCCGAGAACTGCAGGTGCAGCGGGTCCCCTCGCCCCCAAACATGAACTCCTAGGAGCCTGGCCAAGCAAAGTATGGGGGGGCAGCCTTGGCCGGTTTGGCTCAGTGGTTAGAGCATTGGCCCTAGTACTAGTGAGTCTCGGGTTCGAATTCAATCAAGAGCACGTAACTCCGTTGCAGTTTGTCCCCGGCCCTGGTCGGAGGCAACCAGTTGATGTGTCTCTCTCACGTCGATGTTGCTCTCTCTCCCTCCCTCTTCCTCTCCTCTCTCACTCTATATGAAGATAAATGGGAAAAAATGTCCTCAGGTGAGGATTGAAAACAAAATATATGGGGAAGGAACAGACCTTTTCCTCTAACCCCCCCAACCAAAATTCTACGTTTCGTAAGGTGAGCGACCGCCCCACACAGCAACCAGCCTTCGTCATCCTACCGGAGAAAACAAAAGAGCAAAGCCCCCAAGCCTCGTTGCCCCTCCCTGGAGACCCTAAATAAACCTCCCTCGGCGGAGGCTGGTTTGGATCGTTTTTCTGCAAACCCAAAGCTAATTCCATATTCTATTGATAATTATCCTGATGCTCAAGTGCAGGTAGCAATTATTTCATTAGGAGCAGCTTTCGATTAAGGCATCTGTCCACTGCCAACACACCACTCTCACCAAAAAGGGGGAGAGGAAATCACAAAACAAAATGCACCACCAACCTCTCCCTCGCGGCTTACAGCGGGCAAGACGGAAGCCTGAGAGGGCCCATGATTAAGTAAGCTCTCTCTTCACATCAGGAAGTCCATTAAAAACTGAAAGCACCAATTAAGAGCTGTTTATTCCTGTTTACGTTTGGACTCGGGGGGAGTAATTGGCTTCTGTGGGAGAAGAGGCCGGTGAGGACCCCTCTAATTGACTAAATGCACCCTTGTTTTTTCTTGATTGGCTTCGCGAAGAGGCTGGTGGCCGGGCCGCCCGAGACCGTACCTGCCCACCTCCATTGAGCTTGTTGGTGAGCTTGACTTTGCTGAAGGAAATGGGCGCTTTCATCCAGTGAGCCCCGAAGTTGGGGGAGTCGGGGTGGATGTAGACGCAGCTATGCCGGGAGACCTCTGGCTTGCCCGCGGGCACCCATTCCCCGTTGACGTACTTCCAGCGGTGCCGGTCGGTGGGGACGAAGTCCAGCAGGAGGGAGTACATGGCGTTGGGGTCCAGCCCCGTGACACTGATCTTTAGAACAGGGAACATCCGTCTGAAAGAAAAGGCAGAACCTGAGCCAGAGGAGGGATGTGAGTGTGAGGGACCCCGCCCCGTGTCCAGCCATCTGTCCACTCTGAGACCCCGGGGGATGCACGGAGGAGACCAAAGAGGAGCCAGGACCGCAGCCCCGACTCCAGCTGAGCCTCCCCGCGTCGCGCTGGGGTTCCGCCGTGCTCCATGTTAGTCTGAAAGCCACCAGTTCAGGCATCTGACGGAGGAACCGAGTTCCCAGGTGTGTGTGAGAAACACCATCACACAGGCAGCTTTTCCAGGCCTCCTCCCGGCACACGTGGGTTCTCACACTCATGCCGCCAAGCAGGCCTTCCCCGTCTCACAGGGGCCGCGCTCTGAAGGACACAGTGGACACAGGCTGTCACGGTAAAGTACGTGGGGGGAACCCTCCGCTGTACAATGTTAGACCAGTTCCTTCCCTGCAGGACTTCTCAGGGCCTTTACTCTGCCAGTGTGCACCACAACCTCTGAGAAGGAAGCGGGGGAAGGGGCACACTCTGAACTGACGTGACAGTGAAGCCGTCTTTTCATGAGCCCCTGGAAAGAACCTGTGCTCAGGGGACACCCTTGGACACAGGGATCTGGGCTCGCGGGTCCTTCTGCTGTCCCCAGGGACACGCAGCCAGGAGGTGCTTACTCGTATTTGCAAAAGCTACTCCACCACCTGCCTTCTGACTCCCTTCGGTTTATTTTTCCTTCATCAAACCTCCAAAGTGACTCCAATCTACCCTCTGAAGACCTGGTCTCCAGGCACACCCCACCCCACCTGGCTGCCAGGTGCAGTCTCACCTGTCAACTCCGCTTTTATTTTATTTTATTTTTTTTTATCCTCACCCGAGAACATTTTTCCATTTTTTGTTCAGGTAGAGTGGGAGGGAGAGAGAGGAACAGAGAGAGAGAGAGAAACATCGATGTGAAAGGAACACATTGAGTGGCTGCCACCCGCACAACCGACCAGGGCCGGGGACAAACTGCAACCGAGGTACATGCCCTTAGCGGGAACCGAACCTGGGTCTCTCAGGACCGCAGGTCGACGCTCTAACCGCTGAGCCAAACCGGCCAGGGCTCAACTCCGCTTTTAAAATCTGCATGCCCTTGCCCTGGCTGGTTTGGCTCAGTGGATGGAGCGTCGGCCTGTGGTCCAGAGAGACACGGGTTCGGTTCCTGCTAAGGGCATGTACCTCGGTTGCAGTTTGTCCCCAGCCCTGGTTGGTTGTGTGGGTGGCAGCCACTTGATGTGTCCCTTTCACGTTGATGTTTCTCTCTCTCTCTTCCTCTCTCTCCCTCCCGCTCTATCTGAACAAAAAATGGAAAAATGTCCTCGGGTGAGGATAAAAAAGAAAAATAAAAATTAAAAAAAATCTGCATGCCCGCATCAAGAAGCTAACCGTCGAGAGCCTAGACACTTGCCACTCAGAGGGGTCCACGAGCCAGCGCACCAGAGTAGCTGGAAACTTACCGAAGTGCAGACCCTCGGACCTCACTCCAGCCCTACTCAGTCGGAATCTGCTTTTCCAAAGCCCCCAGGCAGGCTGTGGGCACGTCGCTGCTTCAGAGATCCTAGTCTAGTGTCCTCAGCACGTAAGGGGGTTTCTACGGAGTCTGCAGGGAGCGAGCGGGGGGGAATGAAAAGGGAAACTGGGGTGGGCTCCCTGCTCAGAGACGGGTCCAAGGCGGCCAGGGAGGGGCACAGAGGAGGACAGGTGAGGACCTGGAGGGTCACCGGGCACATCCTCCTCCGTGCAGTGGTGCCCAGCTTGGTTGGACATTGACAGGATTTCGTTCCCGTGGCTCAGCCCCCTCACTGACACCTCCTTTCCAGCCCCTTTTCTGGCTGCTCTTCCAGCTGAGTCCGGCAACTGCGGACGCACAGTGGGGTCCTGTTCTCCGACGCTCTGTTCGGGGACCGCCTCCAGGTGGCTCTCGGCAGAATAGAGAGCCTGGACCACGGCAGGGACCACGGCCCATGTCTCTGTGTGGCCCTGAGGAAGATTCAGTCTCCAGATTCTGAGCGCAGGTCCCGTTTGCCTGGTTCCAACCCCACCCCCCTGAATACATAGCCCTGAACCGCCTTGCTGAACCCTCCGGCTTCAACTCCATCATCACCCTCTCCCGGCCTCGAAGTTGCTGCGAGAATTCAAAAGGAGCAAAAAGCCCTGGCCAGTTTGGCTCAGCGGTTAGAGCGTCGGCCTGCGGTCCGGAGAGACCCGGGTTCGGTTCCCGCTAAGGGCATGTACTTCGGTTGCAGTTTGTCCCCGGCCCTGGTTGGTCGTGCGGGTGGCAGCCACTCGATGTGTCCCTTCACGTCGATGTTTCTCTCTCTCTCTCCCTCCCACTCTATCTGTACAAAAAATGGAAAAATGTCCTCGGGTGAGGATAAAAAAAAAAAAAAAAAAGGAGCAAAAAAATATTTTTTTTTCATTAAAAAAAGAACTCAATGAGCTAATTCGTGCAAAGTGCTGCTTCTAATGCCTGGCACCTAACGAGCACCCTGGACATGCTGGCCACACTGTCGATGTCCGAGGCGTCAGCGGCCCAGCTCTGCCTCTGGTCGGCGTCTCGCCGTGGGCAGTGGCCGGGAAGGACATCAGCCCCGCCTGCCTCCTGCCCTCTGCCTTCCTCTCTGCAGGTAAGAGGTTCGGGGAGGGCGGGAGGGACGCCTAATGGCCATGGGGTGTCTTTCAGGGGTGATGAAAATGTTCTCAAATTATAGTTGTGATCAAGGCACAACTGTGTGGGTTTTCTAACTATTGAACTGGGCACTTACAAAGGGTGACTCTGATTGTAAGTGAATTGTTTCTCAACAAAGAGGATGCTAATGCCTCTCTGTCACCTCCATGTCTCTCCCCAGCTGAACCAGGGTCACAGCTGAACCGTCGTCCCAGGCCTTGGGGTTACCTGTGGGCAGAGGCAGGTCCTGGCAGCTTCCTCTTGCCCTGCACCCTCCGCAGAACCGGCTCTCCCTGCCGTGTGGCTGGGCTCACAGAGAGGGTCGTATAAATAGGTTAGGATGCATATAGGAAGCGACACATTTACAGGGGAGCAGTGTGTCCGAGGATGCACCCCAAAGCAGGCCTCACCTGAGCGGTGTTCCCTCACCGTCCCCTCAGTGACATGCGTTACACTTTCACGTTGACAGAAACGATGATTCGCCCCCCCCCCTCCAGGGAGGCCACCCGTGTCATGTGAGTTCAGCCAGTGGTACATTCTCTTGTTCTTTCTTCAGCAGAAGGGTTTTTATCTATTCTCTCCTTGGCGTACTTAACTAAACTATTTATGTCCTTCCACAATATGTTGTGACGTTTTCAGTCATGTCAGTGACACCGGCGGAGTGCGAACACAGACCTCCTCGGAGCACCGCCACCACCCACGGGGATTCGCAAAGGTGGGGTGCAGAGATGACCCGGGCGGTCAGAGCACAGGGGGTGGCCCGGTTTCTGGGCCAGGGCTGTTCCTGAAATGCTCACGTTTGTTTTATTGTTTGAAGAGAGAAAAGAGGGCCGAAACGGGCGTCGCTGACACTCAAGGGAAGTCCCCTCGGGAAGGACAGACAGGACAGGTAAAGGTAAGAAGAGGGAGCTGACGTCACATCATCTCCACACGCAGAACAGCCAGCGCCGTGCTGTTCGTGGGGCAGAAGTTAGGGAATTTCGTACAGTTCCGACTCACGATTTAAGAGATGGTTTCATGTGACAGAGTTGTCCCAACGACAGCAGTGAACACAGACTGAGGTCTACTCTGCGCCCGAGACTTCCTGTGCCTCTGCCTCGCGGATGTTGTCCTTCGCCCCAGGCGGTCAGTGTTCTTACGCCCATTTTACAGACGAGGAGACTGAGGCTCAGGAAGCTCGGCCTGTGCCCTTTTATTCTGTCGTCCCCCCGTCTTCTCCTGCCACAACTTCTCGCTCTCCCTCCTTTCTGATTCTTCTAGAAAGTAACATAGGAGCAGGCTACAAGGAGAGAGGAAGTCCCTGTGGTGTTGTCCTAAATCTGAGTACCTGAGTAGAGATTTATTTACTCATTTAACAAAGGCTTGAAGGGCCAGCTCTATGCCAGGAACGGTTGGCTGTGGGAATTCAGTGGCATAAAGTTGCAGCCCCGGTGTCTCGTTCATGGACCCTACTTTTGAGCTGAGAAGTCCGGGCACAAAAAGGTAAACAACTTTTTTTCAACATATGAAATAATTGTAGCTTGCCAGAGTGCCGTGAAGGAACTAAAGTGGGTGATCTCAGGCCCGCCCCATGTGGCTCAGCGGTTGAGTCTCCGCCCAGGCACCAAGAGGTCCCAGTTCGATGCCCGGTCAGGGCACACGCCTGGGTTTCAGGCTCGATCCCCAGTAGGGGGCGTGCAGGAGGCAGCTGATGGATGTTTCTATCTCTGCCTCTCCCCTCCTCTCCATCTAAAGAGCACTAAAAACATATTTTAAATGGGTGATGTCAACACACAAAAGGAATTGCAGTACAATGGCCCTGAGGTCCGGATAAGCCTGGACTGTTGAGGAAGGAGGCAGCCAGTGTGACTCAGGCAAAGGGGACAAGAAATCCCAATTTTCACATCTGCTGCTAATAGGTTCGAGCGCCCTCCACTCTCTCTCAACTGCAGCATGCCAGGTCCCACAAAGAATGCAGCATGGCCGTGAATGCCAGACGGCACCCGGCTGACTTCGCTCCCTTCCTGCTCCGTGCAGTTCTACCTGACGTTCCAAGAAAACGGTGACCCAGGAAAGAGTCCCAGCAGCACTGGCCGCAGGGAGAAGCCAACCAGACCTGCAGGGAGGCACCGATTCTCGCTCACCTGGTTGGACAGTGGCCGGCATTGGGGAGGACGTGGAGGGGTCAGCGCCCTCGTACGCTGCAGGTGGGCATGGAGAAGGTCCAACCACTTTGGAAAGGCGGCTGGCAGCTCTTCAACCAATGAAATGCAGAAGGACCACACAACTCAGTAATTCCACTCTTAGGTGCGTGTGCGAGAGAAAGAAAAATACGCATCCGCGCAGAAGTACAAGTGTGTGCGGCAGCATCGTTCATGAGGCACAATAACACCCACATCCACCAACAGATGCACAGATGAGCAAAGTACAGTGGCACATGGAATATTCATTGGCAGTAAAAATGCCAAAAGAGTCTGGGAGGAGTGAGATTTGCAGGAAGAAAGGGGCAGAGGTAACTCAGGTGTGGGTGGGAGAACAGCAGAGGGGGATACAGGCAAAATACAGGAGGTGTCGTTCCATCTCCCTGCAGAACTATAATGTTCCCGAAATAGTCATAGTCCTCAGAACTCTGGGAGTGTGTGTGTGTGTGTGTGTGTGTGTGAGGGCAGATCACACAAATACATGTGCTCCTCATAAATCTCAGTTGTCAGCTTGAGAGGAGACCGTCTGGGTATGGGCACACGTATGGGTATCTGCCTGGGGTGCAACCTGCATTTTCTCTGCTCTTGCCCTGGGCTTGCTGGAAACCGTGGACACCAGCTCGCCACGCCAACCGCCCCCACATGGCTGGCAAATTCAACTGAGGACCCCCAACACTTATTTGGTGATAGCAAATGGACGTACCTGCCCAAGGCAAAGTCAGTCAGAATCAAGTCAAAATAATTTAGTGGGATGGAAATACACATGAAAGGTAGCATTTTCCCCTGAGGAAGTTTCCTTCATGAAAACAAAGAGAACTTGAAGTAGCCGGAAGTAGGTCTTTTTTCTACAACCTAAAATAGACGCTCCAAGCTCAAAGGGCACAGTGAAATACTCAGCGCTGACAGCCAGCGATGACTCAAGGAAGGGACTCTAATTGCTACGTTATCTCTGAGGGACTGACGATGAATCACTGAAAGTTTTCAATAAAAAAGGAGGCAGAAGCACTAAAGCAGAGGAAGAAGACGTATTAAAAGGCCACAGAACAGAGCGGGGGGGGGGGCAGCAGGAGCCCAGGTTCTGGGGATAATTCCGTGTTTTTCAGGGGAAGTCCTCTCTGTCTACTACGTCTGATCAGTGTCAGAGTGAGCCTCCGTCGGTGCATATGAACAGCTCTCCACCTGCAAACAAGCCCTTTCATTCTTCCATCAGTCTGTCCTGTGCTCCTGCGAAGCTTGCTGGTGTCACTCGGAACGAGACCCCAAGTGCGTAGGAGCCAACAACCCCAACCGAGGCTTTTGGAAAGTGAAAAAGCCCACTGCCCACCGGGATCTCACATAATGTGGATGAAGGGCCCAGGCTGGGCGTTAACGGCCAGGAACACCCTGCTCCACAGAGAAGGGCACAGTGCCCCCGCCTCGGGCTCAGGAGTCGCTGGGGAAGAGACGGAGCCGGTATCTAGAGGAGACACAGCGGGGCCATCATCCGAGGAAATGGGCAAAAAGAAGACATTGAAATAGGTCGTTAAGAGAAAAGGGGGAAACAGAGGTGAAGAAGAGCGTGGAAGAGGTGACGACTCAAGAAAGACGCGTCTACACCGGGAACAGGAGGAAGCATGGCTAACGATGCAGTCCGTGGAGCCAGGGCTGAGTCGCTCCGGATCAAGCTCCCTCGTTACCAACCCAGCAATGGTCTAGAGACTCGTCTTCCTTCTTCACCTGGGGAACAAAGGGGGCGTCCTACCTCCTGGCAAGCTCTTGACCCAGAGAGGGTCAGGAACCCTAGGAGAACCTAAGGAAAGATTCAGTTCACTGCGGGACAGGCAGCAGCCTCCAGAGAAAGTAAGAAAACCGAGCTGACCGTAACCAGACTTTTCCTACAAGGCGTAGCTGACAGTAGGTGACTTCAACCATGTGAAGAATCTTACATTTTAAGTATGGAGGGAAAAAACTGAATAGATAAAAAAGGCAAGAGCAAGAGAACGTATGTGCCACTGTGACATATTATTACATCGGATTTTATCATAGGGTCAGAAACTTCTTTATTCCTTATTGTGAGAGATGAAGGATGTTTTTCCTTGGTGACGGCCCCTTATTCTTTGTTTATAAATGACCCCCTGACCGCCAAAGAGATGGTGTGAGGCTAAGTGTTGCTGTACCCTCTACCCAGTAAGTACAAAGAATACTAAGCGGAAAGTCCTCCCTGCTATCCGACATCATGAAACTTTCACAATTGTACCACCACCCATCTTTGAACGGAAAGTAAACCCAGGAAGGAATCCAAGGTGATTCCTTGACATTAAAAACATGTTTTATATCTCTTTCTAAGCCCCCAGGCAGGGGGCATGGAACAGACCAACATATCTCGGGCGGGGGGGGGGGGATAAACCAAAGAACTTATATACTTATATGCATAGCCCACGGACACAGACAATAGTGTGGGGAAGACCTGGGGAGGGGGGCTGAGCGGAGGGAGGTAAAGGGGGGGATGGGGGACATCTGTACCACTATCAACAATCAAAATAAATGTATTTAAAGAAAAAGAGCTACATCAATCTGTAGCTACTGATCAAGAGTAAGAACAATTACAGATATTAAAAGAAATACATGACATAAGGAGGGGACCTGTTTCGAGAGGGACACATAAGTCTAAGAGTGACATTCCTGGCACTGCCCTCACGGCCGTACACTGTCCGTCATGGAGCATCTCAAGGTCACGTACAGCGCTCAGCCGCAGTCTCCTAGGCCGCGGGAGACGGCTCCCTCTCTGCGCTGGGCATCTCACTCCGAACTGGGCAAGCGAGCCCTGGGCATGGGGGCATTTTGCACGCGGACAAGAGCTTGCAGAAGTTCAGCGGGCCCGACTGTTCTGTATTGCTCCCCGGGGCTGCGGTCAGGTCCTGCCCTGCCTGCCCCCCGAAATCACGTGCTGGCATTCTGTCCTGCTGTGACCACGAGAACCGGAAGAGGAGAGAGCCCCCCCCCCAAGCGCCAGGCGCCGTAAGACTGCTTTCCAACATACGCGTGTCTCTTCCCCCGAGTGAACACGTCTAGAATTACCTGGACGGCCCCTTCGCGGACGAGATTTAACCGAATCCGAGAAATGCCGACAGAGACCAGGTTCAGTTCACCCCTAATCTGCTGTAATGAGAAAACAGAAGTCTCCCCTCCCTCGGGGGCACCTGCCAGCTTCTTTGCCTGTGATCACAACGGCTCACATCACACGCGCACACGCACAATCTGAACACACACCGCAAACACAGCCCAGCAAGCAGATGCAGTGACAGCCAATGATTAAATCTGTCCCTTTGCTCCCAGCTTCAACGAGTCAGAAATCTCTGGCAAGTTTAGTAGACTGAGAGGGAAACCACCCAGCTTCCCAAGGGAGTCGCCTTTCCCTCTATCAGAACGAAGTTAGGGCTCGGGTCAGACACAGCCGCTACTTTCTGACAGGTGAGCTCATCCCCGCACCCCTGGGGCAGGCCCCCCTTTAGAGAGTTTCCCAGAACTTCTCTACTGAACCGGCAGGCATGACAGGGGCTTCACCCTCCGCCTCCCTGCCGAGCTCAGAGAGATTAAGTCGGCCGGAGAAGCGTGGGAGATGATTCTTCTCCAGGGTGTTTCATCAGAGCCCACAGCCGCCTCCTCCACAGTCCAGGGGTCTCACCTCCCTCGCCAAGCCCCGCCGGCCCGAGCAGGGCCGCAGAGAGAGTCACCTGCCATTCTTGGTCACGATCATCTCGTTGGTGACTTCCTTGAACCTCTGCCAGAGAGGGGCGTCTTCCAGGACGACCTGGAGCTGCTTCTCCGTGGGGTCGCCTTTCTCCCTCCCCGCCTGGAGCTCACTTTCCACCACGTTGAGCAGGCGAGAGACGGTGCCCTCCGCGGCCTTCTGCGCGCCCAGCTCGCTCATGGCCACGGGCCCTCGCAGACGGACGTGGGCCGGGAAGCGCGCCCTGCCTTGCCCGCGCCGTCCGGACTCTCCGGCGAGAACAGGACACGCCTGGGGACCTGGGAGAAGATGCTGTCTCTTGCCTGAGCTCCTAGCATGACACCCCTGAAAGTCTCCAAATTATACACCAACCTGTTAAGCTTTAGGTGGGGGGGGGGGCGTGGAGGGAGGGAGGGGGGGAGAAAAAGCCCTCTCTTAATTACTCATTGGACCAGGTGGGGGAGAGCCCGGCTTCGCCATTGGCTGCTGAGCACGGAGTACCGTTTAAGAAGAGTACTCCATCCAAATTACCAGGCTTTTATCTCGTTGTACCTGAAGAGGTCTAATCAGCACATTGAGGACCATTTTCCCGTTAATTAAAATTGTTCCAGGCCCAGACCGCCACAATCGGGCAAATCATGTTTGTGTATAAAGCATGGCATGTGGCCCCTATAGGAAGGAGGTCCCGGGAGATGGACGAACTTGAGGCCAACGCCAAGAACCTAAATCCGGGGCTCCCCGCCAGCCCACAGACAGCCCGTACGGGGGGCAGGAACGTAACTGTGTGTGGAGGACAGAGACAAAGATGGGCTTCATGCCGCCGCTCGAGGTCAGAGATCAGGACAAAGAGCTAAGGACCTCTTTCTCCCAGGCTGTCCCCCCACAGGCCACCTCTCTCCTAAGGGGCCCTACACACACCCACACCCTGCTCCCCTCCCACAGATGAACAGCTCTGAACCGAGGATTCCAGCCCCAATTTTTTGTACATCAGCCCTGGCCAGAGGGAGGAAAACATCACTTAGCATCACGTCGTCCCTAAGGAGGCTCCGCTCGCAGTGACAAAACGTCACGCTAGTGGCAGAGCAACTTGGGCGCCGGGTCCAGAATGGCACCGGGCGTGTTCTTCAGAGCCCGTGGCCCTCGGGGTGAATCCCCACGTTTCCGGGGGTGATGCCACTGAAGCGCCCCTTTCTCTCCCACGACACCCGGCACAGACTGACGCCCGGGGGGCCTGGCAGCACCTTCTCTGGGTGCCTCTCACTACAACGGAAAGTCAGAAGGTCAAAACAGAAGGAGAATAAAGGCAGAAAGGGCAGACAGTCAGGGCCAGGACGATACTTAAAATGCACTCGGTGCCTACAAGGTGCCGAGGCCCAACAAAGAGGCCCCGGTGGCAGACGGAGCACAGGTGGCCGCACCTTCCCGGAGTTCATCTGCGCGGACGATGCAGACAGCGGCACCGCCGTCGAGGACGAGAGGACGAGAGGACGAGAGGCCGCTGGGCCAGGCAGCCGGCCCCCGCCGCTGCGTTAGGAAGCGAGAGCAACTTTCAGAGGAGAGAGGACCTGAGAGGGTGTGTCCCCGGAGTCAGGAGTCACTGACGGGGCCGGCGTGAGGACCACACTGAGCGCGTTTTAAGTATCGTCCTGGCCCTGACTGTCTGCCCTTTCTGCCTTTATTCTCCTTCTGTTTTGACCTTCCGACTTTCCGTTGTAGTGAGAGGCACCCACAGCCCCCCGGATCCACGCGAGGTCGAGGAGAAGGTGCTGCCAGGCCCCCGGGCGTCAGTCTGTGCCGGGTGTCGTGGGAGAGAAAGGGACGCTTCAGGGGCATCCTCCCCGGAAACGTGGGGATTCACCCCGATGTGGCTCAGTGGACTGAGCGCCGTCCCGTGGACTTAGAGGTCCCCGTTTGATTCCCGGTCAGGACACATGCCCAGGTTGTGGGCTCGATCCCCAGTGGGGAGTGTGCAAGTGGCAGCCAATCAATGTTTTGCTCTCACATTGAAGTTTCTATCTCTCTCCCTTCCTCTCTCTTTAAAAAAATCAATAAAAACATATTTTTTAAAAAAGAAATATAATTATAAACATATAAAATGGATTTAACCAAAACTCATGATTTTAGGATGATGAGAGGAGGGGAGCTTGTACCGCAGGGAGAAGGGGGTGCTAAGTTCTCATCCCCTCGCGTAGGAAGACAGTCTGTTACATCTAACATGGAAAAATCAGCTGATAACAGTAGACGTACAAGGTCTAGCAGTCTGGGGAGAAATGGCAGCTGTCACAGCATAAAGAGAGGGCAGTGGCTGCCCTGGCCGGGTGGCTCAGTTAGTTGGAGCATCATCCTGTACACCAAAAGGTGGCGGGTTCAGTTCCTGGTCAGAACACATACCCAAGTTGTGGGTTTGATCCCTGGCTGGGGCGCATACAGAAGGCAATTGAATGATGCTTCTCTCTCATATCAGTGTTTCTCTCTCTCTCTCTAAAAAGTAATCAATAAAATTTAAAAATGTTAAATGAGAGAGAGAGAGAGAGAGAGAGAGAGAGAGAGAATAGCCTCTGGGGAGAGGGACAGATGAATACTGTTTTTTTGGCCTATAAGTTTTTAATCATATGAGTAAATAAAACACTAATAAGATTTATTAGTTTGTAATTTAATTTTTTAAATGTTTTTATTGATTTTTTAGAGAGAGAGGAAGGGAGAGAGAGAGAGAAACATCAATGTAAGAGAGATACATCAATTGGCTGCCTCCTGCACGCCCCCTGCTGGGGATCGAGCCCGCAACCAGGGCATGTGTCCTGACCAGGAATCCAACTGGGACCTCTCAGTCCATGGGACATGCTCAATCCACTGAGCCACACCAACTGGCTAAATTTTTAATTTAACAATGTACACAGATCATTTCCGCATGTTATCAAATAATGTTCCACATTATTACTTTACTGTTTGTAAATTATTCTATCTCATGAACAGGTCATGTTTCATTTACCCAATCTTCTGGTCTTATATATTTACTATTTATCTGTATTTTATCGTTTTAACAATTAGATAAAAATTATGAATAATAAATACTTGGGAGCAGTCATAATTGTTTTCTTACACTGTGTTTTTAAAAGTAGTGCTCACTACCCGGCCACTGTAGCTCAGTGGTTGAGCGTCGACCGTGCACCAAGAGGTTGCCAGTTTGAGTCCTGGTCAGGGCACATGCCCAGGTTGTGGGCCAGATCCCCAATGGGGGGCGTGCAGGAGGCGGCCAATTGATGTTCTCTCTCATCGATGTTTCTCTCTCTCTCTCCCTCTCCCTTCCTCTCTCTAAAATCAATAAAAAAAATTTTTTTAAGTAGTGCTAACTGAGGAGCACAAAATGTGCTAGGCACTTCCTACGCATCATCTCTTTTCGCCCTCACAGGGTCCTGTAGGGTCAGTGCTGTGAGCACAACCATCTGTAGGTGAGCCAGCTGAAGCTCAGAAAGCTGGGTAAGTCACTAGTCCATGGGCATCGAGCCAGAGTAGAAAGGCCACGCATAGCCTGTGTCCTGGGCAATTAACTGATCAACATCATGTTCCTGTCGCTTCACCTGTCACGGGGAGCCGAAACCCGAGTTCTCCCTTATCCTCCGGCTCTAGGAATAGGACCAGGATGGGCGTGTGCTTCCCTGGCATCGATCGGGCATTCACCCAACCCATAGGACATACAGAGTGCCTGCTCTGCACTGGTACGTCTGACCCCAGGAGGGAGAAACCGACGAGTGAGCTGCAGAGGACGTTTGGAAGGGACCTCGCCGAAGGAGAGGGAGAGCCAGGGACACCTGTGCGGAGCAGGGGACACTGTGCAGAGCGAGGGACACCTGTGTGGAGCGGGGGACAAAGCAGGGGACACCTGTGCAGAGTGGGGGACACCTGTGCGGAGTGGAGGGACACCTGTGCAGAACGGGGAGACACCTGTGCAGAGGACACCTGTGCAGAGTGGAGGACACCTGTGTGGAGTGGGGGGACACCTGTGTGGAGCGGGGAATGGAGCAGGGGACACCTGTGCGGAGTGAGGGACACCTGTGCGGAGTGGAGGACACCTGTGCGGAGCGGAGGACACCTGTGTGGAGTGGGGGACAGACACCTGTGTGGAGCAGGGGACACCTGTGCAGAGTGGGGGACACCTGAGTTTGGAAGGGGCAGAAGTTTGCCTTGGGCACAGAACGGACTGCATTCCAGGACGAGAGAATGTTCAGTGACAGGGTCGGAGGCAGGAAGACACTGAGTGTTCCAGGAACACGGATGACTTCATCCCAAGGTACAGGGCGGGAGGAAATGTAGCAGGGTTTGGACATTCAGTATTTCCCACAAGCGAGCACTGCTGGGTGCCCAGGGACCAACACCGTGGTCATGACGCCGGAGAAACAGACCTGGCACATGAAACCCGTGTCTCCCAGGGCACAGTGAACAGGACTAGGAAAAAGTAAAGCCAGCCCTGGCTGATTTGGCCCAGTGGTTAGGGTGTAGACCCACAGACCAAAGGGTCTCAGGTTTGATTCCTGGTCAAGGGCATGTACCTGGGTTGCAGGTTTGATCCCCGGCCCAGGTCAGTCTGGGCATGTGCGGGAGGCAGCCAATCAATGTGCCTCTCTCACATCAATGTTTCTCTCTCTCTCTCCCTTTCTCTCTCACTCACTCTTTCTCTCTCTGTGTGTGTCTCTCTCTCCCTCCATCCCTCCCTTCCACTCTACCTAAAAAAATCAATGGAAAAATACCCTTGGGTGAGGGTTAACAACAACAGAAGTAAAACTAAATGTGAAATATTGAAGTTAGAGTGCGAGCAAAGCACCAGCGATGAGACAGGAGCACCACAAGGGCGGTACGAAGGTGAGTGTGGACCAGCACAGGCCGCCCCGGGCAAGTACAGGAGCGCGTCGTTCTAAGCAAGTAGACAACCCGAGGAGATGGGGTTTAGGGCGGGGCGGGGTGGGAGGGTGAGCAGGCAGGCCCCGTGGGGAGGCAGAGGGGCAGCCGCCAGAGCTCTTCGGAAGGTGGATCCCCAGGGCTCGGGCGCCTCTGGGTGTGGCTGTAGGGGTGTCTGTGCCGATGCTCGGGCCTCTGGCTGGAAGGATGGGCAGGTGGCAGGACCACTCCTCCAGGACAGAGAACGCACAGGAGCTGGGAGCGGTGGCCTGCATCCACGTTCACTGTAAGCAGGAGCATCAACTCCCAAGAACAGTCTGCCATTCACAGGCTGTCTGTGAACACCCCTGGACCCCACCTTGAATACTGGGAACTGGGGAAGCTGGTGCCCTGCTCTGGGGCCTCTGGCCTTGACCGCAGCCGAAGGGATTAGGGGACTCCATGTTCTTCTGCCTGGAGACATGATGAAGTTTTATCTTACAGGTCCAGCAGCTGCCCTGTGGCTTCGATTTGGGGGTAGGTGGGGGTATTAATTAAGGCGTGTGGCTCAGCGGACACCTGATAGCCCTGCCGTGTCCCCTGGTGCACAGCGGCCGAAGCTCAGACTCAAAGGGCAGAACCTGACAGCCCCGCAACCTGAGCTGCCCGGCCAGTGACCAGCGCGCTCAGGGCGCCCAGGCAGGATCCCGTCT